ATGGAGATAATAAAAAAATTGATTTGCTTAGAAATAAACACTACACCTCATAATAAATGGAAAAAAAATGCTAATTCCAGACTATCACATGTATAAGAATTTGACTAAAGTCTAAAACAGTTAATCGATATTAGTCTTTTGTCAACTGATTGTTAGGCTAGCTGGTCTTTTTTTACAAAAATCAGGGGAAAAAGAAATTGATTGTTTAGAAAATGAAACACTACACCTTAAGATAAATGAAGTAAAAGGTAATTGTGAATTGTCACGTGTATAGGAATTTGACAAAAACACTTAATCATGGTCTTATTATCATCAGCATATTAGTAGTTTTTACAAATTATCCTTTTGTTTTTTCAACAATTAAGTGGCAAAATCATCCTTTCTAGAATCGCTTGAAATTTGAATGGAGTATGTTTTGACGAAGAATGTTCATAGATTAGTGGTATAATAATACTAATATGTTGATGTTGATGATTTATCACCTATTAATTTGGTAATTATAAAAAATTCTTAGTGATTATTTGCCTCTTTATTAATAAAAAAAATACAGCACTAGTATTACTTTATGCTGCATCTATTATAACTGAAAATTTGATAAAGGAGACTAAACTAGAAAACATCAAATATTTTCATATTACACAGTTACACATTCCCAACCCCAACAGTCGATGTTATTAATAAACTAAAAAGTAAATGTAAGTTAGCAAAGCAAATTTGGATCTATGTATTGATTATTACACTTGCTTCATGATTTGTAGTACTAACCAACTAATAGCTGCTAGCAATATGCAAATTTTGAAGCAACGGGAACCCCCGTGAACCAGCAGTCAACCCTGCAGAAAATAATTTGGTTCATAACGGGAGGAGTTACGGTGTTAATTGTACAAGAGTTAGCACCGTCCTAACCAAGGGTTAGTAGTGATTTAGCTTAGATGTTGTATTGATTTTATAATAATCCGTAATGATTTCGTTGTTTTTAGTAGCGTTTTTTACTAGTTATCACGGTGTTAACCCCTATAAGAGTTAGCACCTAATCCCATCCGGTCACAACCATTAACCATTAATATACACAATAAAATTGTGGTAATAATAATGAATATTATGTTAGATATCAAATCCCACTAGGACCCGATAGCAAACACACAGCCCGCCCAACTCTAGTTTGCCAAAACTAGCCGTGGGCCAACTTAATTGTTCAGGGCTAGGTTCAGAAAATGGCGGGTTTTGATTTTGGGCTACTGAAGAAGCTGGGCCGGTCGTATAATGAGGCCCAATAAAGAAATTCTTTCTTACCGGCCTTCTCCGTCGCCTTCGTTCTGCTCCGGCGAGAGACGCCGGTAGCAGAGGACGGCGATCAGGACTTGGACGAATGGCTAAAGAAATTGATAGCAAATTCTTTGACGTACTAGAGAGCCTTTTTTTTTTTTTTTCTCTTTTCCATTTTTCATCTTCTCCGTTGAGAAACTTCCGAAGCAGAGGACGGCGAACGTTTGGCTAGCTGTTTCCTACCTTTGCCCGCCGCCAACCTTTGCGCTCCGGCGGAAAACGCCGTTCCGAATTGACCACGGTCAATCGCTAAGGATACGAAATCCATTTCGATATCCAAGAAAAAATCTTTCTTTCAATTCCTCCTTCTGGCCCGGCAGACATTCCGGAAGCAGAGGACGGCGGCGTGTGCATTGTTTACCGAATAAAATTGGCGTTTGCATTTGAGGAGTCTACTAGCCTTTGCAGCCACTGGTAATTTCGTCAATTCCTTCGTCGCTCTTTTTGTTCTTAGGTTTTTTTTTTCCCGATTTGGGTATCTCTGAGTTGTTTGATTATCCGGTCGTGTTCCCCTAGGTCAATTGAGGTGAAATGGGTTGGATGTTTAATCAGATAGAAAAAGTTTTCTCTGCAGCTCAATTTGTTGTTCGGTGTTTATATTTGATCGACCTAGATATCTATAGCAATAGCAGAATTTCAGTATAGGGGATTCGATGTTATGCATTCTCGGAGGAGGAAGGGCAGATCTCGTCAATGTTTTGAGAAAGGCCAGGAGAGGTAATTAGTTGATTTTGGGTTCAATTCGGAAATTACTATGTTCTTAGCTTTCATTATCTTTCGCCATTGTTGCCTAATCTTTGTAGGGGTTAAGTAGGGATTAAGGATAAGAGTAATTACTGGGGGGAAATGGATTCGTAGGTGAGAGTTAAGATTCCATCTTTAAAACTCTCCAACTTATAGTAGTACTAGGAGATATAGATCACAAATGCCTTGAAAGTAAATCACACTCTGATTTGGCTTTATAGTTTGTCTAATGCTAGTATTTGTTATTGAAAGTTGAAGTAATGTAGATATTGTGTTGTAGTATGGTTACAAGGATAGCATTAGGATCTAAGTTCATTTTCTTCATGATGATCTGATAGTGAGAAATGTTTGCATGCTCTCACCCGGGGTTTCACACTTCAGTAGTTGGGTGACTTTTCATTGCCAAGTTTGAATGAGACAAAGGGTTATTTGGGTTGTGTTTTTCCTGCTCTTTTCCATCTCAGCTTGGATTTTCGTTCTCATCAGTTTCCCTCTCTAATTTTTCAATGATTATTTTGCGCTTGCAGCACCCTATTTGGTTGGGTGCATGGTGATTCCAATTCCACAGCCAACCAGGTTTAAACAATCCATTCCACGACTCTTAGTCCTTCTGTCAATAATACATTGTAGTCTTCATTGCATTTCTATAGTCCAGTTTGCCCGTTTGGAGGAGTCAATTACAACTCAGTTACTTTGTGCAATCACATAGATGTCGTTTTGTTCTATCACTTGTAAAAGTAATAAGGCAGTTGTGAATTGTGATAAGGTACTTCTAGTTGAATAAGTTTTTATTGGTCAGTAGCCATACATTGGGACTTCCAGATGGGTTTCTTATGCTATTTTGAGATGTGTAATGACTTCTTTCAAGCTGCTGATGAGTGGATTGATTCTCGGTACCTCTTTCAGATTACTTCACATATGTTGGATTAGTTAAACTCACTGTATTTATGTGAAGTGTTGATAGCTAGTTATATGGTTGGTTATTTTGCTGTGCTGTTCTCTAAACTCCTCGTCTTCTGCTGCTGTTAATATTCAGGGGAAACTTTCACTAATGTGAGGCAGAAGTGGCATAGGCAAGAAGAAGAAGCAACAAGATGATCTGATGGTATGTTGGTATGTTGGTCTCTCTATCTGTCAGAATAATCATTCCTTACGACTAGTAGGGATAATTAAATTAGTACTCTGTCATCATCTCATCTATGTATGAAACTCTCTTTTTCTACTGTTTCAAAGAATAGGCAATGGAGTAAATTAATGCTAAAAAGGATTAATTGCAAGCCTTAGTTTCTAAAATCAAGTACTGATTTCATCAATAACTAGCATCTTGTCACTTCAGATCAAAACTACAGATGGATACTTGTTGGTTCTCCACAAGGTTCCCTTCATAAATGGAAACACCACTTCGGATCGAGGTCCTTTCGTATTGCTTCAACATCGACTCTTCATGGCGAGTTTCCTTAACTCTACTTCCACCCTTTTCCTATTGAATAAAAAAGATTAGGATAAGAGCGTCAATTCTTTTAGAATGCATCTCACCTTTGTGTTATAGTGAACAATCTGTCCATGACATGCATATCTTGGTATCCCTGTAATAAGTCATGACCTTGCCTGCTAATTGAGTTTGTCTTATTGGTTCTTCTTATGTGAATCGATTTAAAAATGTAATCAGGGTGGTGATTTCTCGTTTATGAATTCATGATTCTCCTGAAGAGTCACTAGGCTTCATTCTTGTGGACCATGGTTTTGATGTATGGGCTGTAAATGTTCGTGGGACATTATGCAGTAATTGGCATGTATCTTTGTCTGAAGAGGACAAGGTAAACCTGATTGTGTGGATGCAGACAACTGCATGAGCAAAGACAAACTGTTGTTTGTAGGTTTTCTTGATTAGTTGTGCATTCCATTTCTTCCTCTAATTGTTTTTCAGGTCATTTAACATTGTTTTGAACAACCGAGGTGTAGGAGTACTTGACAGGGGTACTCACTCAATCCCCAATCAAACAGTGGGTTACTTCATTATTAAATTGTAATGTTTGGTTCTATTTTGTTGATAATTAAACTGAAATGTTAGCTTACCTCCCCTTTGGTCTCAGGTCAGATTACGCACAAATTTACATTTGCTCAATTGCTTTCTATGCTTGCTCATCTTGCTTTCCTGCTATTTTGTTCTTTGCATAAGATATAATGTTTTGTTAGCTTACTACTCGATCATATTATAGTGATTCGTATCCTTTTGCTTACATACCTTCAAATTGTGCATGGATCAAGGCTGTCTGTTTTGATGGTTGATTACTTAGGTAATTAAGTGGTTTGAATGGGGTGTTTCTGCAGGACTTCCAATTAACGAAGGAAGTTGATCTACTGGCTTGCACGATGCTAGAATTTTGTGGTATAAGGAGCTAAGGGCAGTGGGGCTATAAGGAACTTCCTTAAGTATAGTTTTGAACTTTTGGTAGAATGTCAAACATAGAACTTCTTAGATTTGAATTGATGGTTTATATTGTTGATTGTTGGTTTCGCTTGTTGATGTGGTAATTCAAAGTCAGATTGGTTATCTGTATTGAAGAAAATTTCCTCAGATTTGTGGTGAGCTTATTAGAGCAGCTCTTTTTTAAAAAAAAACTGCTTATTTAGCGACGGTCAGTTTTCTTTAGCGACGGTCAGAACCGTTGCTACGTAATTTAATCCTTCTTCCGAAATATTTATTTAACGACGACTCTCTTAATGGTACCGACAGCTTAGGTCGTCGCTAAATTTTATCGACGGCTAACTCGACGGTCTACCAAAACTGTCACTAAAATATTTAAGGACTGCGGGGTCAGCGACGGTCGACTGTCCGTCATTAAATATTTTAGCGACGGTCATACGAAAACCGTCGCTAAAAGTTCGTATGACCGTCGCTAAATGATTGTTTTGTTCTAGTGCAATGTGTAAAAACCGCTGACAAAAATTAATTATTGTCACATTCGCAGGATTGTCTCCTCACATTTGTTTATTTTGTTCTCATAGCTGCTTCACAATCTGTTTCACCGATGTGTAAGTCCCCACAATCCCAACAACAGTCGCAACGACCAAAATCCCAACAATTAACATCAGCTCCAACCCAACTTTCCTAGCCGACTTGTTAATCCTAACGTAGCACAAACACGGCAAAATCAACGACGCAATCACGCTCAACGACGACCCAATAAACGCCATCACATAGCCGAAAAACGGCACCGTCAGTGCCACAATCACTGTACTAATTAGAATCACGGTCCTCACTAGGATGCACAGCGCCCTGCTGTTCTCGAACACAAACTTCTCCTCCACGGCCGTCGCGACCGGACCTATAATCACCGCGTATTTGGCCACGGGGTTCACCAGTGTCGTGTAAATCGCAACTTGCGAACTAATTTTCGCGATGGGAAGGTTTAACGTAACCTGCGACTTCAAATGCTCTCCGTACATCAGGTATCCCATGACCGCCATCGACCCGTACGACAAAGTGCTCACTACGAAACAGACGAGCAATACCTGACAGGAAGAAGAAGAAAAAACGTACATAGTGTCACGCATAAGCAATTACGAAATTTCTTAATTCGAAATGCGAAATTATTGAAGTCTTGATTACCTTAGAGAACTGAGTCCTGTCTTTCATGGAATTGCACAAGGTGGGGAAAACGGCATGTCCACAGTAACAGAAAGTGAACAAACTGATAGCGGTGGGCAATCCTTCCAGCCTCAGGATTCTGCCACTTTCATGGAACCCAACTCCATCAACTGCTCCAACCCAGAAAACGCACACAGCCAAAACAATGGAGGCCAGAACCCCACCAACGGACACATAGGCCAAAACCCCTAGGCTTTTCAGCCAAGTTGTTGGGAGGATCACAAGACCAGAGAGCAGAATGAAGGCTTCTTTCCCTCCGATTTCAAGGCTGCCTATCCTGAAAGCTGTGTGAGGGAACAATTTGTCCAAGTTGTCGCCTTCCAGTATCAGGAACTCGACTGCAACCAAGTAGAGCTCCATGTACAGGAAGATGGAGACCAGTGCCCTTCCTTTGTACCCGAATGCTCGCTCGCCGATGTCGGGATAGGTCCTGATGTGCAGATCGGAGTCCATGCAGCGCTTCAGGAGCAGGCCTGTGTAGAAGCAGAGGACTGCCACGAGGAGGAGTAGTGCCAGGCTGAGCCACCCTCCTTGGGACAGTGCAAATGGGATTGACAGTATCCCAACCCCTGAAATTTATTAAACGCGTCAGAACGGATATGAAAATCGACAATTGCAAGAAAGTAAAGCACGCACAGAGTTACGTTGTTCGCTAATACAACGTGTATTAGTTAGTCTACGGTCAAGCGAGAGAGCCAGTTTCACTATACTTGAGTAGATGTAGCTTACAACGAGATATATATATATATATAGTTTCTTTTCCAAATGGGCTAATCTAATCCAACCTGAAAAATAAAAAAGGTTGCAAACCAAACCGAAAACTGACAATACACCATGGGTCGGGAGTCACCATGACTTGCAATCGACGCAACAAATAATCTGTTTTCTAAGTAACAGCAACAGGTAGGGAGTTATAAGAGTGGAAAACCTGACAAGGCATTGAGTCCATTGAAACAAGTTCTGAGGAAGGTTGTGCCCTTAGGTTTGGGATCCTGAGGTTGAGCCTGCAGATGGGTTTGGCTCTCCATCTCCATTGCAACCTTCTGGCACTCCATTTGCACTTGGTACCAAAAAGGCCTGATGGGAGAGGGTTAATATAGATGGAAAGATGATGGATTTGTTGAATTCATGGGGAGGCAAAAGTGGATGGTGATCCACACATTTTTTCACTATCAGGCTCGAAAGGTGTTACCGGTTGTGACTTTGTTGGGGAAGGCAATAGTGAGATCGAGTAGATAGCCATATTGGAAGGAGAGAAAAAAAATGGATGGCTATGCATCAGCAAATTTGGTGACACAAAAAAACTGAGGCATGACATTTCTTTTCCCCCCACTAAAAGGAAAATTAAAGCAGACACAACCCATCAAATATATAATGCCCACTACTTAGTTGCTTCTTTCTTTTTCTTGTGGTAATTGCTTGCTCCCCCTTGCTGTCTTCTTTCCCTCTTATCTTCTCCTCTCTTCTTGTGTGCATTTTTTTCCCCATGCCTTCATCCGGTCGAGCAATTAGGGCCATGGAGCAACTTTTTGGGGTATTGTAGAGTCAAAATCATTCGACTTCTTTATGCACTTAATTATTCGACTAGATTATTAGGCTGTGGAAAGGGAAACGGGATTGAAGACTGGGAAAGAGGGGATGATTCTTCTTCTGATTAAAGGTGGAGAAAAAGGAAGGAACGTGAGAAAAATATTTTTGTCGATTCTTACGTAACACAATTTCTTTTGATTCTCTAAAGGTTGGGGGGGGGGGGGGGGGGAAATATACACTGATTGGTGGTTCAATCAAATAGATAGAAATGAACATCATTTGGCACGTTTGGTGAAAAACAATTTTTGGGAAAGGATTTAATCCGGAAATATTTTGTATTTTATATTTGCAGTTTTTCCATCTTATTTAATTTTATCTACAAATATATTATATAGCACAGTTGTCGGCAGTTTTTCAGCATTTTGAATTTTCTGCTACGAGAGCGAAAATAGGAAGGGTAATTGTGTGTTCACAATCATTATTTATTTTTCATTCATAAGATATAAAAAAAAAATCAATCTCAGGATTTGAACCATGGTATTTTCAAACAAAGACAACAACTATTATCAATTACCCTAAAGAAATATTTTGTATCTTTTTAAATACAAAATCTAAAGACCTAAAATCTAAAAGTCATATGAACTTTTCACTACTGTTTGCTAGTCCACTAACTCTCCTTTAAGTACTTTCTTTGTTATTTAATATTTTCATTTTCATATTTTGATTATTTTAATTTGAGTTTAATTATAAATTTAATTTATGTCTATCTTATAAGTGGATGATAATTTTAATATTACAACCCAAATATCATTGATTCGAATATTGCATATTGAATTGCAGTATTGAATGTATAGATGTTATGTAGAATTCTTAACTTGGTATTAATTTTTAGAACTATAAAAGTAACAATATTGTTAGGCAAACTGTAAGTGACCAGTTTTTTTAAAGTTTTAGTTTGGTTAATTTTTAAATCCTAAATTTCTTGATAATATAGCATTATTGGAAAAATGAGTGAGTTTAAAAGAACACAAATTATGAATACCAATGTTTTTAGATAATTTCAATTATTTAAATCTTTTAGTGGAACTAACTAGATGTATCAATTATCATGCATAGTTACTTAGTTTAATATGAAACAATCGTAGTACAAGAAAAATCACGAAAGTCGAGCTGGAGTTTTCATGGATGCAATGATGTGTTCATGTGTATTAGCATGGTAGGTACCACAAGATAGGTTTAATTTGTTTGTTAAGTGAATAAGATTGTCCTTCAACTAAATTTAGAGTATGTTGGTTGACAAATAATTTTCCCATTGCATAGAGTATGGATGGGAATTGTTAATTTCTTCCTAATTTTGTTATTGTATTGTGCTGAATACTTTAAGTTTTAGATATTGCTATATATGTATTGTTTCACAAGAAAAAGAAATAAATATTTACTAAAGATTATTATCATTTCATTTCAATCACAAAAATATATATGTTATATGTAAATATATTTAAAAAATGTGTAAAATGGCTCAAACAGGTTGGACCTCAATCAAATCATGAAACTTCAAACCACTTGCTTAACTAGATCACTGACTTAAACCAGTTTGACAACTTTTGTTATAACCATTAAGATTACATTGTTCACCATTGATGAAAAGTTATAAGAATTTCAAAATTTGAAAAATAATTTCGATGTCACATCGAAGTCATACAAAATTCAGCATTTCAAATAATTTAAAAAATTAAATATACCTCATAAATACATTTGTTCAAATGATATACGGTCATTCCGACCAACCTGCTTCTCAAACTGGTTTTTAACCATTGCACAGAATGCTTGCAATAAAGAACGTGCTTGAGATTTAGAACTCAGCATGAGGACCATTAGGCAAGGTCACAAACATCTTATCAATTTTTCTACATCTTAGAAAGTGCTTAATATAACAGACAATATGATCACTAGCTCCTGTGTCTAAAACCCAGAACACATCACCAATAGATGATTTAAGGGTTGAAAGTGCAATTGTACCTGCCATTGCAGTGCTGCCTCAGGTTATAACAGAATTAGCTTGACTTGTGTTGTGTGAAGAGGAAGGTTGAAGCTGAAGCAATGTCTTGAGTCTGGTCAGCTCATCAAAGGTGAAACCAGAGAAGGTTGGTGATCCTGACTCATGTTGGCTGGCTGGACTGGTGGGGCTGTAGTTACTCACTCCTCATGAAGGGTTCGTCTCTGATGTATTGACATCTACTGATCCAGCAAAACCCCTTCCCCTGCCTGGATTATTGCCTGAGGAATGGGGATTGTTACCCAAAATTCCATTCTTCTTCTTAAGCTTCCAGCAATCCTCCTTAACATGGTTGTCCTTCTTGCAGTATCTACAAAACAAACAAGTTTGCTGGCCATAATCAACTTGACCCGTATCTCGTGGTTGGGTGTATTAGGTTCTGGAGGCTGCTAGTGCTTGTAACACCCTAACCCGACCGGGTACTACTTTTACTAAAAAGCCCTTGATAAATAAAATACTCAAATCTTAAATTGCAGCGAGAAGAATTTTCATAAATAAAATACTGTAAACACACACTTGGAGTTTAAAGCAACGCCCTAACACATGGGCAAACTCAATACTTAAAATCTCAACATGATCTCCAGTCTATACTCATAATCATAAATGTAAATAACTAATAATCTCTAATATTGTTGCTACTGAAAACCATGACTAAGCATCCTCTGTGACGCTTATACTGCTCTCCTCTAGCTGGCTGCCCTCGAACTCGCTGCTCACTAACTGCTCCTCTAGCTCTTCAAACTGTTGAGTGAGATGGGGCCAGTCTACGCCCTTACGTTTAACATCTTATTAATACTTGATCACTTTACTTAACTGAGAGGAAGTTGTTTTGTACTTCCACTATTAAAAAGCTTAACTCTTAAAACTGTATGAGAGTTACTATTACTGTCCATTCTTAAAGCTCAAATCTTGACTTAAATACTTGACTAACACGGGGATCCCTCACTAGCTAGTCTGGTTGCCAACTCATACGTATGAGAGCCCATCCAGGCTTTCCTTAAACTTAAACTTATCGTGGAAGGCTCTTCTTCCACGATTCTGAAGAGCATAACTGCTCCTCATCTTAAAATATCTCAAGAGCATAACTGCTACTCATCTTAAAAGTCTCAAGAGCATAACTGCTGCTCTATCTCAAAATCTCAAATGGCAACGGACTGGCGCTAGTGACTAAAAAAACTCTTAAAACGATTTCACCTTTTTGAAGGTGAAGTACTTCTTAAAAAGAACTTGTTTCTTAAACTTTAACAATCACTCATAACGTAAAGCTTTAAGGTAATTAAATAACACACATTCACTTCAAATCATAGCTCAAACAAAGCACATATAATCAACCACAAACATACTCAAGCAACGGTAACCACTTTGCTAAAATACTTAAAATCGTAATATTTAAAGGGTTAATACCACTGGAAATACCATCCTTTAGATAAAGTGCCATTTATATTACATCTTTTTCGAAATGCCATTTGTATACTAAAATGTCTTCTCCGTTAGTTGGGCCGTTAAACATAACTGTGCGACTTTTCAACGCACATTCAGCGCTTAATAGGATCCTACGTGTCGCTGACGTGGTTTATTTACTGGAGAAAAAAAAAAGGGTTAAAAGTAAAAACGAACCGGCTCGGGCTCCCTTTACTCTTTTCGTTCTCAACATTTCTCCTCTCCCTCGACTGCGAAACACAGAAGAAGAAGAACCCTAGCTTCGTCTTCCGAAAAAAAATTCCCTAAATCGGAGAGCTGGGCGGAATCAATCGGCGTGCGAGTAGAGGCGAAGGCTTCAGATCGTTGCTGGGAGTGAGATCGGAGGAGCGGAGCGGTCGAATCGGCGCCGAGCTTCTTCGAGTGCTTCACCTTCGTCTCTGGTTTTTGGAGAAGAAGAGCCAGAAGGGAAGCAAGATAGCGAAGGAGTAGCAGGAGTTACTCCCTCGTCCTGAGTCTTCTCCTTAACCAAGCATAGAAGGTGATTGTGAAGAGGAGGTTTGTCGGCAGGGTTTCTAGGGTTTGCGAAGAGGGGAAATAAAATCTGTTCCCCACATCTGGGTATTTATAGTAGATTTCTGGTGGTGGTGGGTACGAAAGTAGATGGAGAAGAGTAAAGGAGGGTGTACAGTTGAAGATTCCTTCCAAAAGCTTGGACCACGAGTTTGAGTGTGAAGACGATTTTATCCCTACTGCTTGGTGTAAAACAGGTTTGTGCTGCTTCCTTTGTCTAGTTTTTTGGACAATTTGATAGAATAGTGATTGTGGTAGGCTGTGTTGTCGTTGTCTAGTAGTTGATGCCTCGGCTGTAGGTAGTTTTTTGCTGTATTTTAGTGGGATTGTGTTGGGGAGCTGTTTGCTTGTTTAATTGTGTCGACAGTTTGGTTGGGAAATGAATGAGAATATTGTATTTTATTGCAGGATGGCAAATGAGATGGTTGAGCTTATTGTCAACCATGGAGGTCGGATGGACTTCTCCCAAGGCACACC